AGTATAATTTTTTTTGTTAGGGACCTGTAAAGTATTGCACCCAAGATCAGCAGAACGTGGGTGTAATGCCACAGTCCTGCAGACCATCTGTGTATCTGGCTGCCCGTACCTCTGGTTGGCTACTATCAAGGGCGCCAGTTCTGGGCCGGGACTCGGTGATTGTCGGCGGAGCTGATAGGGGAGAGGTCTGTATGTAAATAACACAGATCTCTCCCCTTTAGGCACGAACGGGCTGCTTTATATTGCTCTGCACGGCAGAGCAATACAAAGCAGCTTGTCTACATAGTAAAACACACACAGCACTCTGTGAACCCTTTGATTGCACCAGATGTTAATCCCTTCCTGCCCAGTGCCAATAGTACAGTGTCAGTGCTTTTTAATAGCACTGATCACTGTATTAGCGTCATTGGGATGTCAGTGGCAGTTAGTCAGCCCCCCTTAGTGTCATAATGCCCGCTGCAGTCCCGCAATAAGTTGCTGATCGCCGCCAGTACTAGTAAAAAAAAAAAATAAACATAAAAATTCCAGTATATATACCACCATTTGTAGATGCTATAACTTTCACGTAAACCAATTAATTTACACGTATTGGGATTTTTTTTAGCAAAGACATGTAACAGAATACATTTTGGCCTAAATTTATGAAGACATTTTATTTTTTAAATTTTTTTGCTGGATATGTTTTATAGCAAAAAGTCAAAAATATATTTTTTTTGCAAAATTGTCGGTCTTTTTTTGTTTATAGCGCAAAAACACACAGGTGATCAAATACCATTAAAAGAAAGCTCTATTTTGTGTGGAATAAATGTCATTTATACACATATTACATGGCTGCGCAATTGTCAGTTAAAGTAATGCAGCGCTGTATCACAATAAATGACCTGGTCAGGAAGGGGGGTAAATCCTCTGGAAGGCAAGTGGTAATTAAACTCACTTAGTGCCTTATCTGCATTAAATTAGCCCCAGAGCCTGTGTAATTAATACATGTTTGGTTTTAAAGGCATAAGGTGGCAATCCTAGGTGTACTGGTATGTCAATGGATAAGTAGGGTGATATCACAGTCATCACTGCACCTGCAGCCATGATCGAGATATCATTTTTTTAGTGGCAGCGATTCCCTTCAATGTACAAGTAATCCTATTTGCTGCTATATTACTTTCACAGGTGGTGGAAGGGGGTCTCACCCCCTGCAGTCACCACCTTCACTAGGCTCTCCCGTGCAATCAGGGAGGATGCAACTGGTGGAATCCCGTTCCTGGGACACAGTGAGAGGAACTGATGTTATTCCTCCCACTTTGTGATGTCAGAAACCGGAAGCGACAAGGATTTTATCACCTCTGGTTTCAGCCTCTTGTAAAGAAGCTGTTACTGGCTTAAATAAGCATCTGATCAAACAAATCTTGGTTTGATCAAATGCTTTGGCGGGTAGAGGAGTAATCTGGGGCCTAATAGACCCCAGATCACTCCATAAAGAAGACCTGCTATGGCCCATGCTATCACAAGGAATGTTGTACATCCCTTCTGATAGCAATAAAAGAGATTTAAAAAAAATAGGATATAGTGTTTTTTTTTTGTTTTTTTTTCCAAAAAAACGTTTATTGAAAAAGTGCATAATAATACAAAAGAAAAGCAAATGATGGTCATTTACAACATTTGGCAGTGCATGTCGGGAGAAAGTAGGAATATTCTTACAAAGAACCACATAAGGAGCATGGATGTGCCAGTCCACGACGGGGTAAGTCTGTAATACTCAGGCAGTCTAGTAGGGCGCATGGGAATGTTATCGCATCGGACCTTCTTAGTATGTAATTCTCATTATAGCGCCGCAGAAGGAGGCAGGGTAGATGCAGCACAACCGTTGAGGATGAAGCTAGTGTTTTACTGGAGTGGTGGTACCTGTAAGTAAGCTTAGATTGTCGTGAGGGTCGCTAATGTAAGCAAGGTAAATATGACAATGGCATGCCTAATGTTCCCTAAAGAGGAACCCAGTGGTTAACTGGGCGAGTAACAAGAAGGTAAGAAGAAAGAAAAGGAGAACAAGAAAAGATAAAAGATAAAAAAAAAAAAAAAAAAAAAAAAAAACGGGGGGGGGGGGGGGTGAAGGGGGGGGGGGGGAGCTGGGTTTGTATTGTCGTCAACACCAAGGGTCTTTTATGGGTGGATTTGAGCAAAAGTCTATTAACCGGGGCCGGTAGGTGGGGATAGAGCCCTGAAAGTGGGGAAGTCGCCTACCGTATGCTCTAGAGTGTGGAGTAACATACAATGGAGATTAGTAATCAATCAGGCGTGTTGGTTGGATGGTTCATAAAGGACCGGTACGTAGAAGTAGTTTTAAAGTGATTCCAGCAGGCCCAAGCATGGGAGAATTTAGTGGGTGAATCGAGTGCGGTCGCAATCAGGGCGGGTGGAGCCCCAAAGAGTGGGAAGACAGAGTCTGGCTGCGTTGACCATATGCATTGCTAAAGATTTGAGGTATTGTCCCCTGGGCAGAGAGGAGTGATGGAGAAGAAACTGCTCTGGAGAGAAAGATAGGGACAAGGTGGTCACACAGACACTACAAGCCGGTGGACCTCCTGCCAAAATGGTTGGATATTGGGACAAGACCACCAAATGTGGAGAAAGGATCCATCCGGGGTTCCACATCTCCAACAGCTGTTGGGGACGGAAGGATTAAAACGAGAGATTCTGGACGGAGTTCGGTACCATCTCGAAGCAATTTTATATCCATTTTCCTGAGTCGAGACATTGAGGGAGCATTTATGAGTATGCATAAATATTAGGTCCCAATCGGCGTCCAATAAGCTGTTTCCCAAGTCTCTGTTCCAAGCACGGCAGGAGGGTAAAGAGTTATAATCCCTACTCTCAACAAGGAGAGGGTAATTCGCCGAAATCAAATGTTTGCGCAGTTCAGCTCTAGAGCATAGGGATTCAAAAGAAGTGAGGGGACGAGTCCAGTTATGGAACAGTTTGTGTGAGAGCAGGAAGTGTCTTATCTGCAGAAAGGCCCAAAAAGGAAAATCTCGACTATCTAGGCTATCAAGCAGTTGACGCGGAACGATATTACTTTTCCACCGCGAATAAAGTGTTTAACTAAGATCTGGTCATGTGGCCAATGCTCAGATAGGAATGACTTGTGCATGCCTGGGGGGAAGTCAGGATTGAGACGAATGGAGGTTAAGGAATTCGGTGACTCAGAGATAGATACCGTTTTACAGTTCAGGCGGAGAATATTTAAGCTTGGCCCCACTAAAGGGTGGGTGAGGAGCTCTTGAGGTGTATGCTTTGGCAGTAACCATGGAATCGATGTCAGGGGTGAGGGTGAGAAGGCACTTTCGAGGCAGACCCAGTCTTTAGTGTTTTTTTAAATAAAATACATTACCAAAATAAATTTTAAAAAAACCAAATGTGAATGTGCACGTAGGTCCCACACACATAAGTAAACGGCGATCGTACCCCACAGGTGAGGTATCGGCATAAACATCACAGAGAGGGAAATAATTTTAGCGCCAGACCTCCTTTGTAACTCCAAAATGGTAACCTATAAAGGCTTTTGCCCAAAGTGTTGCCTATGAAGATTTTTAAGGTATCGTAGTCTGGCACCATTCCACAGGTGTGCGCAATTTTAAAGTATAACAAGTTTGGTATTTATTTACTTGGTGTAATATCATCTTTTACATTTTACTAAACAATTGGTAATTATATTGTGCCTTTGTGCATTAAAAATTCATTAAAGTGTTTTTTTAAAAAAAAAATTGCGGTTGAAAAAAGCTGCACAAGTATCATGTTACATAAAAATATGCAACACCCACCATTTTATTCTCTAGGACCTTGGTTAAAAAAAAATATTGTTTGGGGGTTCTACGTAGTATTCTAGCACAAAAATTCAGTTTATTACATGTACAAGAGGAATGTTAGATTTGGTCCGGACTGAAATCTCTATGACATAATATCTGCTACTATAAAAAAAAATCTAAAACCTATCCAAATGCCCATTTTACTGACATGACACCACACTTCATGATTCTTCTGTCTTCTTTTCTTTACTTTGCTTGGCTCCCACTGCTGTCAATCACAGCCAGTGTGAAGAGATACACAGAGTTGGCTTAGGAGCAAGCACACACACAGGTGCCCCCATAGCAAGTGGCTTGCTATGGGGGCACTCGACTTGGTGATTTGCCAAGACGCTGGTGGGGGACCAGAGAAAGAAATTGGGTCTGCTCTGTGTAAACCAATTATACAGAACAGGTAAATATGACATGTTTGTTATTTTTTAAAAATAAAACCTAAGCTGTTACAATCACTTTAACTTGAACAGGTGCAATAGGGAATATCTACTCAGCAATGCATAGTATTAGGTCACTAAACTCTATATGTACTCTTGGAAAAATGAATGAATAATTTGTTGTACTCCATGAGGGGACAATGGGGGCTTGTTCACACTGTTCCTCCACACATTTCTGTGTGTTAAGGTGTGCTGTGTTAAAGAACCTGTACTATTTTCTTCAATGCGTGTATTGTTTACATCTGTGTGTTGCTGTGTGATAAAATGCATGCCGCCTATTGACTAAGTGCATTGGGGTGCCTGGCAAAATGTGTGTATAGATATAAAAAACATTATAAATATATTTTGTCTCCTTTTTTAAGTGATCACACACACCCTATGTTCTCTGCTGCATAAGGAGCTCAGAGAGGAGAAACAACAGAACGCTGATCTTCTCAGTGAATGGCTTTGCTGAGGGGGGGGGGACATATCAGCACACACCTGATCATTGGATTAGCTCCCAACACAGCCATAAAACTGACAACACTGTGCTCTCATACCTAGTGTGGTCAGATCTTAATAGGAAAGCAGAGAGACTTGCAAGAACATCAAGGATTTCACACATAGGGATCAATACACAGAGAACAGTATACTTTTTCATACAAGTTAATGGTACAGCAGGCACATATCAGGAATATGAAATGTTGGGTTTATTATTCTTTAAAAAGATTAGACTTACCTCACTGCCCCTTTCCGTCATATTCACGTAATCAAAGTCACATACCACAAATGCAGTGATATAGGTTGACATTTTCAGAGTAGTGTTAAATGTGGTAACCATCCATTTAGTTCCATTTTCATCCTCCCTTTCGAACATAGCTGCAGGAAAAGGAATTCCATTTACTACAGAAATATTCAAACAAACACACATTTGACACAGAAACAGAAATACACACATCCCACATGTTCGTACAGTTCATACAGTAAGATATAAAGCAATGGGAATATTTAACCATTTCCTACCAGAGTTACACATATATGCAACAGGTGTGCTTTAACGCACAGAGGCCGCATATATGGGTCCCTTTTTAAACATTTTCCAGTGCTGAGAACACTCTCCCAGCACAGTAACCGGCAAGGCTCCATACTTGCAATGCATACTTGCAATCCGGAGCTTTCCGATCCTATGACCACTGTGAATGCCAATCAGCGGCCACATAATCAGAATGCCCGCTTCCGTCTCCTAGCATTTAGAGCCTCTAGGGCCAGGAGGAGGCGGTGAGAAGGGGTTACTAATGTAAAGATATACAACATGCACTAACTCATACAAACCTATCAGAAATAAATTTCCTAACCCTTTTGCACCATCAATGGCTAGATATCCAGGCCAAATTTTGCAGCATCAGCATGTGCCAGTTAACAATAGCCCCTTGACAAATTAGCATGTCTTATTACATCCTAATTTACTAATGCATTAATAATAAATCTTATTTAGGGACATACATATGAGGTTTTTATTGGGTTTACTGTTAAATTAAAAAAAAATCTGTTTTTCCTAATATTGTGATAACTGCACACATGCATTTTTTAAAACTTTTTTCCTGATTTTAATTAATTTTTGCATATCTGCAGAAATAGTTTTGGGAAGTGGGGATTGTTCCACTGGTCAGGTAATATTACATTACTAAGAATCCTTGTATACCAAAGAGGCTCAATTCACAAACTAACACTCCAGGATAAGTACACTTATTTTTTGAAGTGACAATTATTTTTTCCATTGAGTCCAATGACACTTTGTTGCTTGCTCTGGCAATGTGTTCAGTTGTCGATAGAAGTTACTCAGTTACTTGGAAGAAGTGGATCCGAAGCATGACATCCCTAGGAATTTCCTTTGGAAGGACGGAGGGTTGGGTACATGGTGGATCCTATCAATTGTGAAATCTGCTTAGGTAAGTGACGGAATCATGAGTCCAATGAAATTTGAAAATTACAATCACATGCTTAAATTAGAGAGCCTTATTTTGTGTTAAACCGGGAACCAAAGATAAAATACTTATCTTAGTTCCAACTGTTCAAATGTCTGCAAGGTCAATCGCCAGCACTGGCATCCGGATACCAGACTTCAGCCGTCCTGATTGGCCAGGGTTGAATGATGTCAATCTTGGACATGCGCATGAGTACAGTCATCCCAGCATACAGGCTGTGTGCCGGAATGTGTATATTCTACAGGGGATTGCGAACAGGCAGGTAAATGTATTTTATTGCAGAAGGGACATTACATGTCTCTTCTACAATAAAGAATCTGTCTGTTTTTTGTTTTTTTTTTATATTTTTCAACTTTAGTTCCACTTTAAATTACTGAGGAACTGAGGAAAGCATATGACTGTACTGTACATGGGCAATTTACATTGCTGATTGTTCATACCGATTGACACCATGACCTCTTTTACTTATGCAGCACTCTGAGTAATTTGAATTAATCTCCTGCCCCTCTGATTGTACATTCCTTAAATAGTTGCAGCAACTAGGCTGATTAATCTGTTAAGATTTTAAAATAATGCACATACTGTTCAAATCTTTCAAAATAATTTGTGGACCAGAAGAAGGGTGGGATTTTATTAACACCAAATTGTAAATTAAATTAACATAACCAATTAACCTTTGAGCAAATTAAACTTTAATTTTTCAACAGGCTTATGGTGAACAATCCATGAGGAAATCAAGTGTTTTTGAATGGAATAGGAAGTTTAAAGGATAAATTCACTTTTGGGAACATATTAACATTTTTGAAGGTTTGTTCCATTGTTGTGTATTGTTCTTTTTTCTGCAGAAATCACTATGACTAAGTCCTGATTGGGTGAAATGCATGAGGGGTGACCACCCCCTCATGCATTTTACCCAATCAGGGCTTAGTTGTACTGATTTCTGTAACTATCTCAATAACTAAGCCCTGATTGGGTGAAATGCATTAGGGGAGTGGTTAGAAGGTGTGGTATTTGTGGAAGATATACAATGAATGTGGATGTTTGTAATGTATGTGGTGTGTGGTGGCTCTTTTCTTTGCTTCTGCAGAATGAACTTGGATAGCCATCAGCACCCATGGTTCAAGTACTTGAACCGAGAAATTCTTTGGTTTTGTACCATTGGCCACGTTAGTGCCTTAAAAAAATATTCCACATTTTGCCATGTTACATCCAAATACGTACATGTATTTTATTGGGATTTTATGTGATAGACCAACACAAAGTGGCACATAATTGTGAAGTGGAAGGAAAATGATAAATGGTTTTCAAAATTTTTTACAAATAGATATCTCAAAAGTGTTCACCTTCCAGCAGGACAATGACCCTAAACATACAGCCAGAGCTACAATGGAATAGTTTAGGTCAAAACATATTCATGTGTTAGAATGGCCCAGTCAAAGTCCAGACCTAAATCCAATTGAGAATCTGTGGCAAGACCTGAAAATTGCTGTTCACAGACACTATCTGTTCAATCTGACAGAGCTTGAGCTATTTTGCAAAGAAGAATGGGCAAACATTTCCCTCTCTAAATGTGCAAAGCTGGTAGAGACATCCCCAAAACAGACTTGCAGCTGTAATTGCAGCCAAAGGTGGTTCTACAAAGTATTGACTCGAGGGCTGAATACAAATGCACGCCACACTTTTAAAGATATCTATTTGTACAAAATTTTGAAAACCATTTATCCTTTTCCTTCCACTTCACAATTATGTGCCAATTTGTGTTGGTCTATCACATAAAATCCCAATACAATACATATACGTTTTTGGTTGTAACATGACAAAATGTTGAAAATTGGGTATGAATACTTTTGCAAGGCACTGTAAAGTCAGACAAAAAAGTTACATTTACCTACCTATAGCTGGCATATTAGAGAGGGCCACATAACTGGAATTGTGGACAATCCTAGTTTTAAAGGTTGCTTTCAATGCTGGTTCATCAAAGCACGGGTAAACCATCCTGGCAGATGATGGCTCCAGCTCCGATCCCACAAGGGTTCTGCAGACAGAAAATGAGAAGCAGTTAACAGACTAGGATGAGGGGTTCTCAAGCCTTGTTTGTTTGTAGGACCTCTGCTATATATGTCATCAATACACAGACCCCAGAGTAGAAAAAAACCATGAAAACTAAAAAGTAAACCAGACGAAATCAACATAGACAATAAGCATATGGGCACACTCATTGTGAGGACAAGGCAATGGATTATTTGTCCTATTATGTGCTCCTTCACCTGTGAATTGATATATATCATTAATTTATTATAGCAATACTTATCTATTTTTATTTTATTCAGATGTATTGAGGTATGAGTATCCATGAATACAACATGCACTTATGTATCCATGTTCTACGATGTAAAATAAGCTGTGAGACACTACAGACAAACTTCCTGAAGCAGTCCCAATATGTTGGGATGCTTATATATATGTGCAATTGGATGTACAATATCCAGTATCTATGGCCTGAACTCCATTAACGTGACTGGAAAGCCCTATGCAGCTTTTCAAATAGATGACTGGCAAAACTTTTTTTTTTTTAGTTTTGGATAAAGTACAGAGGGATTAGAACGCCAGTCAGGTTTTATTGCTGTCTGTGTCTATTTGTCCTGTTTACCATTATCATTGAAAATTAAAATAAATGAAAACACCAAATTTTTGGTTGTCCCCAGAAAAGCAATGAAGGGAAATCTTCCAATGGGACACTAGTTCTGGTGACCTGGAGGTCCCCAAGGAATTACCTTAAATTGCAGGGATTTCCTTTCAATTCTTGTTTGGCTATGGGACAGGAAGTGAAAGGAAGCCTCCATAATGGAACACAGATAGCGAAAAAAAAATCTGACAGGGGTTATAACCCTCCCTTCATCTATCCAAAATGAAAAAAAAAAAGTTTTGCCTATAGTTATACTTTAAAGTGAATTAGCTCAGGCTTTGCATGGGCCAAGGGTGCCAGAGTAAGGTGTAAACAGTGCATAGTGAAAGTGTATGTCTGGGTAAAAAACATACATTCTCACATCCTGAAATACATGCACATTTTCCCACAGTTTGTTTTTTTTTAAATGTTGCAGGTTTGACAAATACGTATTTATCCTGCCAGAAATCCAGTAGGCTCCTAATTACCTGCAGTAAGTTGGCAACTCCAGCTCTACTGCATTCAAACACTAATCAGTGTTGTCAGCCTTTTCTCTGTTCTCTTCTGCTGGACTACAGAACATTTCCCCACTATGTTACAGAGATGATGTGAACATGAAGATCACAGGGAGTTGCACATGTCACATTTAACATGGATGCAGCCACAAAAGTGCATGTAAATGTATAATCCATTCATTTTTTAATTAGTGTTATATAACTAGCGCCTTAAATAAGTGATCCTTAGGCTTCTTCTTTTACATGGGTAGGCAGGGAGTGGTAAAACAGGCGGTCTATCCATGTATTAACTGCCCCTTGAATGCCCACCTACAATTGGACATGGTAATGCTATGGGGAGTACACATTGCTGCTATTTTAACACAACATGCAGATGGTGTCGCCGGCCAAACTCTACCATTTAATTGAATGGACCGTGCACCATCTACAAGCTGAATGCTTGGCTCGCAGTTATGGCATGGTCCACCAATGCAAAAAATCAGGCATCAGAATGTGCCAGTTTCACCTCCTGAAAGCCTGCAAACCTTCTTTCACTGTTCTCTAAAAAGGATCAACCACCGATTGCTTTTAAGGGGGGGCAGTAAACCCTGCTGCTAGTGTGAATGGAACCTAAGTGGACCTAACATTTTATCTGTAATAATTTACACATAATATCGAAAACAAAACTCAATGTGGAACTTTTATCTCTATCTGTGTTCCGGTCAGTATGCATATATCTGATGATAATATGGTCTAGAGTTTGGGACCACACTTTGGAGAGGTGCCTCAGCTTGGCTGTGTGGCTTCACACATATCTGTAAAAAAGTGTATGTAACAAAACGCATTGTTAGAAGGAGCTTTTTATTCAGGGTTGTTTTTCCTGGTTCGTTGGATCAAGTACTTTGGAACCTTTATCATGTCACCTGAGGAATGATTTCCCTCATCTCCTGTTCTGGTGACAGTGATCACCAAGAGTGGAAATAAGTAGACATCTCTCTTCCTTGGAAATGAAGACAGCAATAAAAAGACATTTTAGTACATGAGGTAAGGGTTGGGAAGCTATGCAAAGTTTTCATTTCTTCATTGTATCCATGTCGGGAAATTCCCCTTCATCTCCTGCCCTAGGTTTGCTATTACTGGGACAAGAGAATGCTGGAAAATCTTTCTTATTGGGATGAAATCAGCAATAAACTAGGAAAGGTTTTGCCCTTTACTCACTCTATCCAATACAGAAGAAAAAAAAAGGCTGAAAACCGGAGGGTCCCCAGAGGTTCCATCTTCACCTGGTCTTCCTTCTAGGTTATGGCTGTTGACCACTTGAATGGCTGAGCCACAGTAATAATACAATCACATATAATCAAATTAGTGCAGCGCTAGACATATAATGTGAATAACATATATATGAAAAAACTAATCACAGTAACATGTCACACATCTATGCATGCAAAAAAGGTGACCAAACAATGTGATTATTTAGAGAAATAAATCTCAATAATAAATGTGTCCCCCAGTGCCACTCACTGATGTGAATGTGAGTAAATTAGATATCACAAAAAAGTTCATAACACTATGTCGTGGTGTTCAACTCCAAGCAATATGATGCAATGCAAGTGATCACAAAATAGCTTCAAGTGATGGTAAGTGACTCTCCTCCTGTGGTAAAATTGCCCCCTCACCTCCACTCTATGGACCAAAGGGCCTATACGCCTTTAAGATCACTCAGGATCTTGATCCACCATAGATAGAAATCACCAGCCAATCTCCCATAGGATTCCCATCCGGTAGGTATTCAGGATACACTGGCTCCTGGTCTCAGCACGATATACCTCTCTCCCGGATGACATAAGCACAGGAAGAATCTCTCATAGTGTAATAAGTTGCACAATGAGTATTTAATAAGATATATAAGCAACTCACATGCAAATGTTCAAATCCACAGTTCATAGGGATGTATGGGTGTACTGCATGGGTATCCAAGTACACTAAGGTGTCCTAAGATGGCGGCCGTACCGGAAGTACGTCACCGCCAAACCGGATGCTGCGTCACCGCGTATCGACGCGTTGCGTCACCGTCACGTGACTTTGTCAGGATATCACGATAAGTGTGCAGCTTCCCTGTATATAGTGGTGAGTTCAATTATCCCAGCTATAGAGACCTGTCTGCAGACTTGTATGGCCGGCGGCCATTTTGTTGAAGCCCTGCCATAAGGTAATACAATGGGATAGACCAGCAATGGGCAAACTACGGCCCGGCGGACCTTTTAAATCCGGCCCGCGGAGCTAGGCTCCCGCTAGGCTCCTCTCACAGTCCGCCCTGAAGTCCGCCCGGTGTAGCATGAAAATCTGTCTCCTATGAGGATCTGTCCCCCTTGACGTATCTGCGCATGTGCCGGAGATCGCCGATCGGCTGCTAATGCCTGAAACTGGCACATGCGCAGATACGTCGAGGGGGACAGATCCTCATAGGAGACAGATTTTCATGCTACACCGGAACGGCGCGGGAACACGGCGAGAGGAACGCGCGGAGCAAAGGTAAGTGAATTGACACAGGGGGGACTTGGGGACTTAATATGGGGAATGAATTACTATAGGGGGATGAATTACTATATGGGGGATGAATTACTATGGGGGATGAATTACTATATGGGGGATGAATTACTATGGGGGATGAATTACTATATGGGGGATGAATTACTATGGGGGATGAATTACTATATGGGGGATGAATTACTATATGGGGGATGAATTACTATGGGGGATGAATTACTATATGGGGGATGAATTACTATATGGGGATGAATTACTATATGGGGGATGAATTACTATGGGGGATGAATTACTATGGGGGATGAATTACTATATGGGGGATGAATTACTATGGGGGATGAATTACTATATGGGGGATGAATTACTATTATGGGGGATGTATTACTATATGGGGGATGAATTACTATAGGGGATGAATTACTATATGGGGGATGAATTACTATATGGGGGGGTGAATTACTATATGGGGGATTAATTACTATGCTTACTATGGGGGAATATTACTATACTTACTATGGATGACACATACACATCATTCATCTACTCTTGGTCCGGCCCCCGGGTCCAATATATGAACCCATTGCGGCCCTCAAGTCAAAAAGTTTGTCCACCCCTGGGATAGACAGTCATCCTTCTGACTAACTATATATGGCTATAGCTGTATATAAGCCATTTCCTGTGATAAATTTCAGACCCTTACCCATAAAAAAATATATATAAACTGTAAATATATCAATTCTGTCACTGCTTAAAAATTAAGAGATTAAAAATATATAATATTAAATACCATAATTAGAGCACTATAAACGATATAAAATAATAAAGTTTATTAGTATTATAAAATTAAAATATTATTATATAAATGACTTATATACTACTGAGTAGCGAAACAATACACAAATATAAAACTACTAACTACAGAGGACTCAAGGGCATGACTTCCTACTCATGTAGTAAACCCATACATTAACAATAAAATTGGTCTATGATTACATATATTAGGCCCACATACTCAATAAGCCACAGTGATATCACTCCTGCGCATGCACACAGGAGTCACATCACCACGGCACACGTGCGGCTCAGTGTACATTACAGCTGACAGGCAGGGGGAAGCATTTATGACCGACAGGGTCTCTTCTGTCATAAAAACCCTGCCTGTTTTTAAAAAGTGGGTTTAATACCACCTTAAGCATGTTTATGGGCTTATTCATATATAACAGTGCAAGGAACAAAGAATAAAATAAGCATTCATTGCACGCAGTCAGAAACTCTGTAGTACTTGTCTG